GTATTCCTAAATGACTAAGGATGTTTTTCATGCAAGAATACTGAATATTATGCTTTTTCTCTGCCTACTGAAATAATTTTACAAAGGTTTAAAAAATGTGGCAGGGGCGCCTGGGTGGCTTAGTCGGTTAAGCGTCCGACTTTCGCTTGGGTCATGATCTCGCGGTTCGTGGGTTCGAGCCCCGCTTGGGGCTCTGTGCTGACTGCCGGCTCAGAGCCTGGAGCCTGTTTCAGAGTCTGTGACTCCCTCTCTCTCTGACCCTCCCCTGCTCACGCTATCTCTCTCTCTCTCCTAGAAAAAAATTAAAAAAATAAAATAAAATAAAATAAAAAATGTGGCAATGGGGTGAGTTACATTGATTTTGAGCATTCTACTCAAAATTATATATGCACAAAAATATGCATCAAATATACATCTAACATAAATATTAAGCAAAAAAATATTCATGACGTGAAACATGAAGAAGAAAGGTGGCCACCACATCCCACATGCTACTTGAGTTGATGTTCTGACCAAAAACGCACCCTGCCTCCCGTAGGCTCCAATAACTCAGCATTGAACACTTCATTTCCTTTGGGGTCCTTACTTTCATCACCTGTGTGCACAACTTTTCCTGTCTCATATTACATGTAAGCAGAATCAAAAGTTTGTACCATTTAAAATCAAATCTCATTTCTTTAAATGATTGGACTTCTTTCTTTTTAATGTTTATTTATTTTGAGACGCAGAGAGAGAGAGCAACAGCAGAAATGGGTCAAAATGAGAGGGAAGAAGGGAGATGGGGCGCCTGGGTGGCTTAGTCAGTTAAGCGTCCGACTTTCGCTTAGGTCATGGTCTCGCGGTTCGTGGGTTCGAGCCCCGCGTCGGGCTCTGTGCTGACTGCCAGCTCAGAGCCTGGAGCCTGTTTCAGTCTGTGACTCCCTCTCTCTCTGACCCTCCCCTGCTCACGCTGTCTCTCTCTCTGTCTCCTAGGAATAAACATTAAAAAAAAAACAACCTGAAAATGGGAAATACAGCGCTGGGGATGCGACTGCAAGTCCCTTGAGATCACGGAGCAGCACTTAACGTTGGCTACTTGGGCTCAACACGCTGAACGAGCCGCCCTTCCTCCAGCCTTGTACCTTCGCCAAGGGTAAAAACCACAAATGTGCGTAAGGACAGTCGTCACCATGCCTGTAAGGGAGCTCATGACCCTGGGCTATTAGGGAGACAAGGGGATGTCCTTACTCACATGGGGATCACTTAAAAATCAGGGCGCCTGCGTGGCTTAGTTGGTTAAGCGTCCGACTTTCACTTAGTTCATGATCTCGCGGTTCATGGGTTCGAGCCCCGCGTCAGGCTCTGTGCTGACTGCCAGCTCAGACTGGAGCCTATTTCAGAGTCTGTGTCTCCCTCTCTCTCTGACCCTCCCCTGCTCACGCTGTCTCTCTCTCCTAGAAATAAATTTAAAAAAAAAAAATATATATATATATATATATATATATATATATATATTTATAAAAGGCTCCTTTCTCCCAATTTTATTAAATGCTGTATTTTACTTACTGCTCTGGCATTATAAAGGTTCGTGGCTCCAGATTTCACTCCTTGGAGACCAAAGAAACTACTGGGCTGATAATCCTTCAACGCACAAAAGGAAATGCAGCTCAAGTAAACCAAGAGGCAAACTTCTATCATAGTTCAAAGGGATGTTCTCCAAAATAACAATACAGAGAAACTAACCAGAGGTGTCTAAATGTTCCCCAGAAATGGAAAACCACTATTGAAAATCTAACAATTGTGACTTTAGTAAAACAGGGGAACTCTGGTTTGGACAAATTAACAGCCCATTCCTAGGAGAGATGCTACGATATCCACTACTCACCAGCGGCCGTGCATTAGAGCAGCGGCCTTTGACAACATAATAAGTATTAGCAAGAATAAGAATTAGTGGAGAAACACTAATAAAGTCACAGAAAAGTGACAACCTCCCTGGTCCCACCTGTCCATGTGCAACTCAGGGAAGTCTGTTCGCAGGAATGAATTTCACACAGCTCCCTCTCTCGTGGACATGAATGTGGTTTAGTCACGGTTTATATGCTATCTCACTGGACAGAAGCCCAGTGCTTGTCCTATGGCTGCAGTGTTGTGACAATGTGGTGTCCCTACTGGGGAACACCTCTCAGACGTCACGGATCGGGGAAACCAGTTTATTAGCCAGGTGATACCAGTGAGAAGCAGCGACGTGAGGCTCACACTCTGTACCCCATTTCCTGCTAACGTGTAACTTACTCACGAGCTGCAATATGCAAACTCTCCCCAGCTCAGGAAGTACTTACAGGACATTTACCCTGGAGACGGGGCCACACTGACGGCAGCAGCAGAGCCGACAGAAGGAAAACATGAACTGGGGACCCCCACACCCCAGCATCCCGGGATGGAGGGGTTGCTGGGCGACCCGAGCCATAGGCACCCTGCTGAGCAACACAGTCAAGCCCTGGGAGCCCCGCATGTGCCCCTGATGGCACAGCTGACAACCCCCCATCACACCTGCAACAGAGACCCAGGCAAGTGACTCGCTGCTTGTGGGTGACCACACGGAAGGCTGCCAGCAGAAAGAGTATGGCAAAGGACAAAAGTCCTAAGTGTCACCCACACTGAACTCCCAGGGCAGCGAGAGCCTCTTGAGGAACAATGGGCCGAGCAGCAGAGCGGGACATGCTCAGATCGGCAGCTCGAAGCGTCCATACCACACACGACACCACATGGCAGAGGGTCACACCCGGTCCCACATGGGGGCCCAGCTCTCCCTGCTGACACGGGTCCTCTGGGAAGGAATGAGAGGACCCAGAGCCCCAAGGGGATTAAACCCTGAGCTCCACACGCCCTGATCCCCCTCCTCGGGGGCCCCAATTCTCATAAGGGAGGAAACCCTCCCAGGCTATGATCTGACCCCTAAACACTCTGCGTTCATGACCCTTCCAACAGCACTTGACCCCAAGGAGACTTCCCTCAGTCTCACCTGCGCAGACTCGTTTCCACAGATCCCACTTAACCCCACGGATGATGCCAACACCAGTCCTCGGGAGAAACCACCCCCCGCCCAGGGTGACCCAAGGTCACGCCCTGCACTGCGTCTCCTGCTCGGTCCCTGCGACCTGTCTGGGCGGCCACAGCGCCTTCCACACTCGTCCCGGGGGCTGGAGGCCACCTGCAGGCGAGAGAGACCCCACACACCTTCCCTCACCTCCCACCAGGCCCAGCTCGGGGGGCCACTGGTCCCCAGCCCAGGGGAGACCCCGGCTTTCAGCGCCCTGGGTCACCTGAGTGACCTGAGGACCCCAACCTGGCGTGGGGACAACCGGGTGCAGCATCGCGGCCTCCACCCTGCGCTCAGGGCTACAGTGGGATCGGCGGCCCCAGGGCTCTGGGCGGGTCACTCTAATGGAAGCGGTTTCTCCCTTTCAGAGAACAGGGACCTGGTACCCTTACACGTGACCTGTCTCAGTTCACAGGATGTGTGTGGTCTGTGACTCCACCCAGCTGCCATGGAGGTGCGGCGCCCCCGCCTGTGCCCCCAACCCTAAGGGAGAAGGGCGATTTCTGTCCTGAGACANGGGCTCTGTGCTGACTGCCAGCTCAGAGCCTGGAGCCTGTTTCAGTCTGTGACTCCCTCTCTCTCTGACCCTCCCCTGCTCACGCTCTCTCTCCTAGAAATAAATAAAAATATTTAAATAAAAAAAAAGCATTGGGGGCGCCTGGGTGGCTTAGTCGGTTAAGCGACCGACTTTCGCTTAGGTCATGATCTCGCGGTTCGTGGGTTCGGGCCCCGCGTCGGGCTCTGTTGTGACTGCCAGCTCAGAGCCTGGAGCCTGTTTCAGAGTCTGTGACTCCCTCTCTCTCTGACCCTCCCCTGCTCATGCTGTCTCTTTCTCTCTCCTAGAAATAAATAAAACATTTAAAAAAAAAAAAAAAGAGAGGGAGGAAGGGAGAGAATTCCAAGCGGGCTCCATGCTGTCAACACAGGGCTCAATGTGAGGTTCAATCTTGAGATTGTGAGGTCTCAACCTGAACCCAAATCAACTGTGGGGCGTGTAACTGACTGACCCACCCAGGTGCCCCAAAACACTCGGACTTCTGTACTACACTTCATTCATTTGGGTTAAACTGTGTCTCCTGTGTAGGGCTCAGCCATTTTCCTGCCTTCATGCCCTTATTGTAGCTATTTCAGTGGCCCCAAGATTATCCACATGAAACCTAAGATCCCAATAACTTCTTATGCAAGTTTGTTTTGAATTATAGAAAAATGATTAACCTTTTTCAATGTTTTATTTTAATTTTTTATTTTCTATTATTTATTTTTATTTTATTTTTATTTTATTATATAAATTATATATAATATAAATTATATATATAATAAAATATATTATATTATATAAATATATTAAAAATATATATTTATTATTTTATTTTTATTTATTTTTTAAATCAATTAACATATTAAAGAGATCATCCTCTCCTTTCATCTCCATCTCAACAGGCTTGAGTGATCTCCTGCTGCTCCACCAAAACCTTGTCCACGTGTGAGGACCCACATCTCAGCGGATGCGTCACCATTACGCCAGTTTTTCCTGAACAAAACAATGGAGTCTCCTTTGACTCTCTCTCAGCCCACCTCTAAGCCAGGGAATGCCGACGGCTCCAACGTCAAATTCTATCCACACTCCAACTGACACATCATTGCCACTGATACCAACCCAGTGTGACCCACCACCTGGCCGGACGTCACCATCCTGGGGTCTGTTGTCATGGTAACAGAGGGGCCAGTGCCTGATCAGCTCATCATAAAGGTCACACCACCCGCCACCAGTCTTCTTGGCTGACCTGCACATGCGATCCACCCCATCCTCTTTCCCATCTCCTGTTCCTCTTCCCCCCTCACTCAGCTGTGGGCACAGCGGCTTCTGGCTGTTTTTGGATATTAAGCCCCCCCCCTCCCCCCCCCCGCGCAGAATGCTTTCCTCTCCTGGGGCTGCTGTAACACAGTGCCACCCACTGGGCGGCTGAGAGGACAGACAATCGTGGTGTCACAACTGAGGCGGCTGGAAGCCTGAGATCAGGTTATCTGCAAAGTTGGTTCCTTCGGGAAGTTCTGAAGGACAATCTGTCCAGGCCTCCTTCCCAGCTCCTGGGGGTTCTCCACAACCCTTTGCATCCCTTGGCGGGTAATCACATCATGCCAATCCCTCCTCCTGTCTCATAAGGTCATGCCCTGTCTTCAGTGCAGGCCTCTGCATCCAAATTTCCAGGTTTTATAAGGACACCAATCATTGGGTCAAGACCTACCCTACTCCAGTATGGCCTCATCTTCACTTCACATGCAAACACCTGATTTCAAGATAAGGCTGCATTCTGAGGTTCCACGTGGACATGAAGTGTGGGGGGTACAATACTGAACCCATGGTTTGTATATGTTTGTACTACATATACTGTGTCATGAATTTAGGTATCAACTTCCAGTGTTACTTGAAATTGTTACTTTCCTGTGTTTTTTTTTAAAGTTCTCAGTTTATTAATCGTCCCATGAAAAATCTGCAAAAGCACCAGATAGTCACTGCAGAATCTTTACTCCTTCTTTTTGCCAGCACCAACATTGGCTTTTGCATTTCCCCTGATTTTTTTCATTCTTTTCTTGCGTTCCTTTCTCTGTTTTCTTGATGTCTTTTTCTTCTCATACAGGCCATGTCTTGCAAGTCTATGTTTGGGTTCATTTTTCTTTGCATAATCCAAGGAATCATAATAAATCATGCCAAAGCCAGGTGTCTTGCCACCTCCAAAATGGGTTCTGAATTCAAACACAAAGATGACATCTGGTGTGGTCTTGTACATTTTGGCTGGTTTTTCCCGAATCTCTGTCTTAGGTACTGTTGCCTTTCCGGGGTGAAGAACATCAGTGACCATCTGTTTCCACTGAAGTAGTCGATTGGTCATGAACTTCCTGGTCTGGATAGTTGTGTCGTTCATGATGGCGGCAGAGCCTCAAGCAGCCAGGGAGGAAAAGAGCGTTACTTTCCTGTTTTGTTTTCCTAGTCCTTCCACCCACACATACAGCTATCCCTCTAAAACATACAGATATTTCAGACTATATGCACATATATATTTCAGACTGTATGTATATTTAAAAAATACATAATTGCCATATACATTTTCCTTTTCTCTCTTCACTGTACTCCATTTTTCCATGCTACTGTGAAAAGTCAATGAAATCTACACGTAGATAATCATGGTTCTGCTGAATCATTTCATTGCGGGTAAGGCCAACCACTTTTCCCAGAATCCCCATATTCCCGATTCTAGGTGACAACTCACCGGTGGTCTGAGTATCGAAAGCAGAGGTGAAGAGGCCCTAGGCTAGTGGTGGGGTCGCCATACAGACGGACAAACGCATAGCGGCTTATCTGGCAAAAAGCTTGCACCCAAAAGTTCTTACCAGCAGCCTGTCAATCAAGCATGGACCAAACCAAACACTAACTTTCCCCCTTCTGTTTTGGGAATAGATAAATAATCAGTGGCCATGCCTTCCACTCATGTCTCCATGACCCCCCAGTCATGGATCAGATTCCATGGTCAGAAACCCACAACTTTAGGTTTTCCACCCAGCCCCACAATGTCCCCCAAGCCACTGATTTAAACTGTCACGCTTGTTGAATGTCTCTGGTGCTTTGGCTCCCGTCTTCCAGCCACATTTGTATAAGGTATCATTTGCAGGCAAGCACCCATTCTCTCACTGTGGAAGACCAGGGATCTTGATTCCAGGACAACAGATAAAATGCTGCAGCTAAAAAAGCACATGGGCCTCTGAGCCTCTATTGCACTGTCGTCTGCACGGTTCTATCCTCCTGTGTGAGAAATGAGCACCTTCCTCATATCTGAGGTGGGATGTGGGTGATTTCTCTTATGTGGAGTTGAAGCCAAGAAATTCAGTAAGTGTTCACTTTTTATATTGTGATTAAAAACAGCGTACCTTTGTTTAGTCAAAAACAAGTGTGTCTGCATGTTGCCCAGAAAAACCTTACTCATTAAAAAAACAAAAACAAAAACACCTGTATACTAATGATGTAATTTACTTTTCAGTGGCTGGGAGATTTTATCAAAATATCCCATTTCACTTACGGGTAGTTAAATCTGTCTTGCTATTTTTCACAAGACAATTCTTAGTTGAAAGTCTCTTATCTTCCTGGTCATAATACAAGGTTCATTATGATTTTATGATTGTTTCCCTTCAGGTTAATTTTTAAAATTCATACATACTCAAGACTTTTGTCGTTAAGTTGACTGTAGTATTTTAAGAAGTCTAAGATAATGACTTTGTCAGTGACCTCCAGCCAAAGACCACCAGGACCACACCTGTAGTCAGAGAGGATCATTATTAGGTTGGGTGTGCTTTTGCAAATTCTTTGTTTAATGAAGAATCCATTTTATTATTTTTTTACATTACCTCCACACACAATATGGGGCTCAAATCCAAGTCCAAGACCAAGAATAGCACAATTTACTGACCTAATCAACTAAATGCCTGCAAATCCTTTTAAAGGTACTGAGGTGGCAATACCTTTCCCTTTGATGTCCAGCCCAATATGAGTTACACCCCATTTCATGACCAAACACTAACTTAGTCAAGAGTAACACCACAAACTTTTGTCCCATAGTTGGAATTCCTTTGAGGTACCTAGGAACTGTGGAACATTATAGAAACAATGAAGTGTTTTTACCTCTAATAAGGATGAAACTGAAGAGGCACCTAAGTCCAGAATTTACAGACGGCATATTTTGGCTGGCTGATCTGGCTGATATTAAGGGTACTGGCCTTTCCAGAGTTTACCTCCTGGAGGAGGGAGGAAAGCACCCCACTGATATTTCCACTACAATTACTGCTCATGGAAACATAATGGCAAACCTGAGTTATGACCAAAGCAATGTTCTTCGAAGTCATAATTAGCAACAAAATCAACCAAAGACACCAATAATGAGTCCCACCAATGCTAAACCAGTATCATCATTTTAAAAAGTTGATAATAAATGGGTGCCTGGGTAACTCAGCTGGTTAAGCATCTGACTTCAGCTCAGGTCAAGATCTCACAGTCCATAGGTCCAAGCTCTGCAATGGACTCTGTGCTGACAGCTCAGAGCCTGGAGCCTGTTTCAGATTCTATGTCTCCCTCTCTTTCTGCCCCTCTCCTGCTTGCTCATTCTATCTCTCTTTGAAAAATACATTTTAAAAAAATTTTTTAGGGGCGCCTGGGTGGCTTAGTCGGTTAAGCGTCCGACTTTCGCTTAGGTCATGATCTCGCGGTTCGTGGGTTTGAGCCCCGCGTCGGGCTCTGTGCTGACTGCCAGCTCAGAGCCTGGACCCTGCTTCAGATTCTGTGTCTCCCTCTCTCTCTGACCCTCCCCTGCTCGCACTGTCTCTCTCTCTCTCCTAGAAATAAATAAAACATTAAAAATAATAATAATAATAAAAATAAATAAATAAATAAATTTTTTAAAAACTAAAGAAAAAGACAGAGTTGATGTGAAAATACATCTTTCATTAATACAGCCGGAAAGAAGACTAGACACAGAATCAGATTATCCCAGTATCACAACAGAGAACAGAGAAGAATTTCCAACAATGAGGGGTCTCACATCATGAAAATTTAACAAGAACATTTTGAAATGTATAATTCAAAAGATTTTTTTTTTGTAAAAGTATACAAAGTTGTATGTACACAGCAACGACAGCCACATTTTTATCATCTTTGGATCTGAAAGACATCGTAACAGGAAAGAGACATGTCGGTCATAACCGTCTGATTATTAAGTCTGAGATAACAACATCTAGGTCGTACAGATATAGAGGACAAAGGCCACTTAAAACCATCAGTGTTCACATCAGTGACACAAACTAGGAATTCATACACTTAGGATCCCAATCAAGGAAGAGGCACTGGGAACTCAAAACTATATCCATAACATGAGAAGATTTCTCTCCCACCTGAATTTTCATGAGGAAAATACATGAAGTTGTATACCTGAAGATTTCTCAAAATTGTGTCCATTCAGGATCATCTCCATTGTACTGGCTCGCATTTTCAGTAAGATTTGAAATGCTTCCCCACACTGTGTCTGTGCTCACAGGTTCCTGAGATACCTGAAGGCTTTTCCATGGGTCTTACGTCCACATGTGTCTTCGAAGGGAAGAGGGAGAACTGAAGACTTTCATAAGGTTCTGCCCACTGAGGGTCATCACACGTACTTGCAGGTCTTTGGGACACTGGACGGTCTTACCAGAGTCCTTACATACAAAGGCTAACTCTCCACTGTGCCGCCTCATGTGTTCTTGAAGGGAGCGGTGATGTGTCAAGGTCTCTCCCCAGGGGGTTTCTTCATGTGCACTCAAACAGATAAGGAGAACCTGTACGCCTTCCCGCACCTCTTACATTCATAGGGTTTAATAGCGCTGTGTGTTTTTAAATGACCTTAAAAATTTTGCAGCTGACTGAAAGCTTTCCCACGCTTCGTACACTCAAAAGGTCTCTCCCCAGCGTGTCTGCAGGTGCGTTTGCAGGAGTGATGAACACCTACAGGCCTTCCCACACTGCTGACACTCATAACATCTTCCCTCAGTGTGAGTTCTCCTATGAACTTGCAGGTTGCAGGAGAGATAAAGGCGTTCCCACACTGCTGACATTCATAAGATCTCTCCCAAGCGTGAATCCTCATATGCGCTCCCAGGTTTGAAGGAGATGTGAAGGCTTTCCCACAGTGCTGACACTTGCAGGGCTTTGCCCCAGGGTGTCCATGCATGTACTCGCAGGTCTCCGTGATACCTGCAGGCTTTGCCACACTCCTCACATTCATAGGGTTTCACTACATTGTGCGTGGTCATGTGATATTCAAAAGGTGGGTGCGTCCTGAAAGTTTCCCCTCCCTCCTTATATTCCAAGTTCAGTCCCCTATGTGATATCTCTCAGTATGTACTACAAGGTTGCACTTACGACTGAAGGCTTTTCCACAGCGTTGACAGTTGTATGGTCTCTCCCTAGTGTGTGTCATCACATGTTCGCGCAGGTTCCAATGACACTTGAAGGCTTTCCCACACTGCTGACATTCGTACGGTCTTTCGCCACTGTGTGTCCTCATGTGTCCTCGCTGGGATGACTTATACTTGAAGGTTTTCCCACACTCCTGACACTCATAGGGCCTCCGCCCCGTGTGTATCGTCCCATGTTCTCGCAGATTCCAAACATACCTGAAGGTTTTCCCACACTGCTGACATTCATACGGTCTTTCCCCAGTGTGAGTCCTCATGTGTACTCGCAGGTATGACTGATGCCCGAACGCTCTGCCACACTCCTGACATTCATAGGGTTTTGCTGTATTGTGAGTGATCACGTGACGTTTAATATGATTAAGTTTCCGGAAAGATTTCCCACATTCCTTACATTCATAGGGTCTCTCCCCAGTGTGTATCCTCATATGTACTCGGAGGGTCTGGTGATGCCTGAAGAGTCTGCCGCACTCCTGACATTCATAGGGTTTCACCACATTGTGTGTGGTCATGTGACGTTCAAAATGTAGATGTTTCTCGAAAGTTGTCCCACACTCTTTACATTCCAATGGTTCATCCCGTGTGTGTCTTCTCACAGGTTCGAGAAAGGAGTGCTGATCAGGGAAGACTTTCCCCCATGGCTGATATTTATAGGGTTTCTCTGGAGCGTGGGTCCTCACATGTTTTCGCAGGCCTGATTTATATCGGAAGGCTCTCCCACACTTCTGACATTGAGAGATTCTCACCCCACTGTGAGTTCCCACGTGACGTATAAGGTAGGAGTGATACAAGAAGGTTTTCCCACACACATCACATGCATGGACTCTCTTTACACAGTCATTTCGCACATGACCCTGAAAGGAAGATGTGCAGGTTAAAGCTTTTCCACGTTTCTTGCACTCTAGAGATTTTTCAATACTGAGTCTCTTCGCATATGTCTTAGATGCCCTCCCGGTGTCCTGACCTTCACCAGATTTCTGTACAAGGTCTGCGTCCACATGAGGGCTGAGGCTCGTGATGGAGCTACAAGCTGGCTCACATTCCTCACCGGGACTAGGTTTGAGTCCTGGCTGAGATCTTCCCGGCTTCTCAAGGAAGGAACCGTCTGCGAAGGCTTCTCTACACTTAGCGCATTCACAGGATTTGCCTCCAGTGGGGCACCCTTCATGCACAGTAAGACTTGTAACCGGTTTCAGGGATTCTCCACGTTGATCTCCTTCAATACGTTCACAGACATCCTCCACCAAAGGACTTCTGTTCAAAATAGGAAGGCACATGGTTAGGGAATAATGATTATAAGCATTCTCTTTATTGGGGTGCTTGGATGGCTCAGTCGGTTAAGTGTCTGACTTCAGTTCAGGTCATGATCTCATGGTTTGTGGGTTCGAGCCCCGCATAGGGCTCTGTGCTGACAGCTAGCTCAGAGCCTGGATCCTGCTTCAGATTCTGTATCTCCCTCTCTCTCTGACCCTCCCCTGCTCATACTCTCTCTCTCTCAGAAATAAATAAAACATTTTTTGAAATGTTTTGAAAGCATTCTTTTTATTAATTAATGAAATATTGATGTTTGTCAATCATTATTGGACTACATAATGGACACTGTCAATGAATGGGTACGTTTGTGGCACTGTCTGCAAGGTTACAAAATGGTACAAGCTTACTGCTCTGGCTGAGGACTCGAATAGAGTCATAACATTCAGAGCTTCTCACATATAGTTTTCCCTGACCATTATTTCCAACTGACTTGTTTTTCAGATGATCAAGATCTAGAATGCATTCATAAAAACTTCGTCTTCTGAAAATTCTGACTACACAATAGTTGAGCTAGGTTTACTGCTGTTCTTTAATTTCAGGTTAGTCTCACAACTGCCAACATACCCCGTTCGTCCCTTGCAAGTGTCACTCACCTCAAATGCCCTTCCTGCGTTTGGCTCAGATCTCCACTGCTATGAAATTTCTGCTTGTCTACAAACACAGAACAGGAATCATTTTTGTAAACATTAGTATTTTCTCATCACTTGGGGTCTCATTCTGCAAAGTATTCTGCTGAGCCTTTGATCCACTCATATTACCCTGACTGAGAGAAACTACAAGAATTGGCAGCCTAATTGAATTTCTTGGAGATGACCTGATGTGTCAGGTAAGAAAACAGACCATGTTTGTTTCTATTCATATTCTGATCCTGAAATGTCAATGAACTTCATGAGGGAGAATGGTCACGTGACCAAAAAATTCTGAGGACTCTGGTGACTTGGGACTTTGGCAATTATAGAGAAAGTGTAGGAAATGGCACCCTGTGCATTGAGAAATACTTCAAAATAGATGGAGGATAATGTGGAGATAAGTATTACCAGAAAAGCCAAGTAGAAACAAACTGGGCAAGACACACACATCCACACCCTACCTCTGCAAGACAGAAAGACTGGCCACGTGGGCAACAATGGATGAAAAGTCCAACAGGGAAGCCAGATGAATGGGAGACATCACTCTGCTCATACAGCCACTGAGTCATGTTTCTAATGGACGTGTCCAAATCCCAATCCCTTCTCTAGACCCTGGTCCAACCAAGGGTTGGCCTCTTCAGAAGGGACATAGGCCCTCAGTGGAGCCCGCCTGCGCTGCGCCAGCTGCTACTAGGAGACTAGATGGTGTGGTTGCTGCCCTCCCCTGAGAAGAGCTCGGCAGGAGGGAGGATTTGAAGGGCACCAAGCAATCTGGAAGACGGGGGCTGACTTTAGTCCTGAAGGTCACTGATGACGGATAATTGTGGGACTTTTTATCATTCATTCATTCATTGTTTGGTAGAAGCACACTGACCTATATATTTGTGTCAGGTGCGTAACATGGGGATTCATCGATTACATATATTACAAAATGCTCACCATAAGTGTAATTGCTGTCACTATACAAAACTACAAAATTAATGACCATGTTCCCTGTGCTCTACTTTTCCTTCCCATGACTTACTTATTAAATAAGTACAAATCTGTACTTCTCAATCCCCTCCATCTATTACACCTGACCCTCCAACCCCTTCTAATCTCACAAACACCAATTTGTTCTTTAAATTTCAAGTCTGTTCAATTATCTGTTGTTTGTTCATTTTGTCATTCAGATTTCACATTTAAGTAACATGTTTTGTTTGTCATTCTATCTGACTTGTTTACTTAGTACAAACCCTCTAGGATGATCCATGTTGTCACAAATGGCAAGAATTGATCCCTTTCGTATTACTGAGGGATAGTCCCTTCTATCTCTATCTTCATTATCCATTCATCTGTTGATGAATAGCTGTGTTGCTTCCCTGTCTTGAGCAGAGTAACAGTACAGTGTGTCTGGGTGTGCACATATCTTATCGTGCTGGTGTTTTTTCCTTTGTGAACTACCCCAAAGTGGAATTACTGACTATATGGTACTGTTCTGTTTCATTTTGTTGTGGAAATTCCAAACTGTTTGCCAAGATGGCCGCACTTATTTAAATCCCACCAATGATCAGTTTCCTCTTCTCCACATCCTCACCAACACTTGAATTTCCAGGCCTTTTGATAGTAGCCATTCTGGCCGCTGTGAGGGACAGCTCCCGGTGGTTCTGATGTGCATTTCCATGAGGATTAATGGTATTGAGCAGCTTTTCATGTGTCAAGGGGCCATCTCTATATTTTCTGTGGGAAAATTTCTGTTATGTTCCTCTTTCAATTTCTTACTTTTCTTTCCGTTTCCCTTACCTGAAGGGATGATTACACAAAAAGAATACTAAGGTTGATGTCCATGAGTTTAGCACCTCTGTTCTGTCCTAAGATGTGTATGGGTTTCAGTCCTACACCAGGTGTTTCATCCATACTGAGTTTACAAAGCTGGTCCAGTTTCATCTCCTTGAAGGTAGCTGCCTCATTTTCCCAACACCATTTATTGAACAGTCTTTTCCCCATTTTATATTCTTAGCTCCTTCTTTCTAGATTTTTTTAACCAAAGAAACATGGGTTTATTTCTGGACTCTCTATTCTGTTGCTTTGATCTCCGTGTCCATATTTGTGCCAGTACTATACTGTTTTGTTTACTATAGTTTGAACTCTGGGACTGTTATATTTTTAGCTTAGGTATGCTCTTTCAAAATAGTTTTGTTTATTTGGAATCTTCTGTTTTTATACAAATTTTAGAATTTCTTGCTCTAGTTCCTTGAAAAATGCTACCCATATATTAATTGATACAGATTGCACTGAATGTGTATAGTGCTTTTCATAGTATGGGCATTTTCAACAAAATTAATCCATAGAATTCATAACAATGGCATAGATTTCCCTTTATTTTGTCATCTTCAAGGTCTTTCATTAAATGTTTTATAACTTCCAGAGTACAGATCTTTCAACTTCCTTGGTTACTTTTAACATACTACTGTATTGTTTGTGAACTAATTGAACATGTATTTGTTTGCTTAATTTTTCAGTTACTTGGGTAGTAAGTACAGAAATGCAACAGGTTGTGGAATATTAATTTCTGTTCTGCAACTATTCTAAATTTATTTATCACTTCTAATACTATTTGGTGAAGTCTTAAGGATATTCTATAGAGAGTTTCATAGGATTTGCACATATCAACCTTTTCAACTCCCTCCTTAAAAGACCAGAGAAGGGACGGGGCCATCCTTACCCACAGCAGACAGGTTCCTGCACGTCTCCAGCATCACATCTCTGTAGAGCTTCCTCTGACCTCGATCCAGCAAAGCCCACTCGTCTGCAGTGAACTTCACAGCCACATCCTCAAAGACCACAGAGTCCTGAAACATACCACACACTCTACTGCAGCAAAGCTCCATCCTCACCTGTGTGTTTCAGAGGATGAAGGGTGACAGGCAGGGAGCTGCTCTCCATTCATTCCTAGGACCCATGAGTCACACGTGAGTAGGAAGTGACAACACGCAAGATCCCCCACAGTGCACGTAGTGATGGGAAGGGCGAACGTGAAACACATGGTGAGGAAAAGAGCTGACATAGACTTACACATGCTCAGTATACTGAGTTATTTGTACTGAGGCAGATCTGAGCAGACCAGTACAATACAGACTAAAACGTGAAATATTCACGCAGACAACACAGAAATCAGAGGACACACGTTTTTCTTGCTCAAACATGATCCTGCCCCGTCAGCTCCATGAACTGAAACAATAATGTCAGGATGTTGTGGGCACTGAGATCCCAGTGCTGCTCTCACCCTGGAAGGGACAAGGTCAAGAAGCCTGGGTGAGTCACCTCTCTTCTGAAAAAGGCACACATGACTCTTTCCCCAGATTAGCTGAGCTTTGGGATTGGACACAGGCCAGGGCCCGGTTCCTTTTAACAGCAGGTGTATAAGACGAGTTCAGGGCCTCAAGAAACCAGGAAACCAGCCAGACCTCTGAAACATTTAACCCAGGGCTCAGAATTCAAGAAAAAGGGCACCAGAAGGAAGAGTCCCTAGGGATTGATGGGGACAGAGCCACCGGTCACTTTAACAGAGAAGGAAACATCACAGTGAATGTGCCACGTTGAGGCAACACACCTGAGCAATGGAAGGCTACAGAGCAAAGCAAAGGGCCCAGTGAGCACACAGCTGAATGCACACAGGCTCCTAAGGGACCTGCCTCGACCAGGCCACTGTCCCTAACTCACCGCTGGGTACTTACAACCAGGCGCAGGTCCAACATGGGGCGCATCCCAAAGGTGTCCACGCCCCCCTCGTGCCCCCCATAACCACAGCCCCCCAGCACCGCCTCCCGGCAGCAGGTCTCTCCTTTGCTACCCTGCCCGCTGCTCCCGTGCAGGGGACTCAGCACACCCCCAGCTCCTCTGTCCGCCTCGGGGGGACTCTCTCACCCCCTGAGCTGCGGCCTCCACCTCATCGGGTCGCCCCACATTTGACGGCCTTCACAGGGACCCTCTGCTGTCCTGGGCCTCTCCCGGGACGTTCTAGGAATTTCCGGGGAGTTTCCCGTGTGGGCTGGCTCTAGTACAATCTGGGCACTTGACAACCTCCACCTGAGGGTGCTCCTTGGCGAGGATCCCAAGCCCCAGGGGAGTCTATGGGACCGCCCTCTCCCCCCAGGCTGAGGGGTTCCCCTCCCGCCCTTCAGGGGGATCCCTGCCTCCCTCTCCTTTCCTTTGGCCCTTTGGCAGGAGTGACCACAGTGCTTGTCGGGCACCCTACTTTCTCTATCCGAGGGGGCTCCCCGGGATGGTCTGAAGGTCGGAGGGGAACAAGGTCGGACCATTCGGGGCGGTGTGGGCGAATGACCCTTCCCCTCCTCCCCTCTCTGTTCCCAAGGTCTGTTCCCAACGAGCGGCACAGCTGGCAATGGCAGCTCGGCCGGGGTGACCGCACACGTGTGAAGGGTCAGCTGGGACCCGGTGCTGCCGGTGTCGCCGCCCTGCTTCTGCCGGGTCCCCCTCAGCCCCTCAGTCCCCGTGTCTGCAGCTGCTGACTTGATCTACAAGCAGACACCTTCCTCCACGGCTGAGGGCGGAGTCCTCCCCTCCTTTCTGCACAAGTGCAGTGAGAATCTGTTCTCCTTGTAACAGGACATGGCTGCACACACTGGTCTCTTTACCAAGGCTCGGACTGGAACGTCCGATTTGACGGAGAGCCGCACAGACTCGGAAAATAGCAGACAGCTCGGCGGCTTTAAGGTGGACTCTGTGGAGGCCATCGAGCCCCCCCGGAAATGCTGGCCTGATGTCCCGCTGACAGGGTCCCAGCAGCCTCACCAGATGAGTAAGGAACGTCAGCTCCCGGCAGGTGCCGGAAACCTCAGGATAGTTTGGGGACCTCGAGAAGAGGAAATCACATAAATCTACATGTCATGTCTGATGACAAAGACTTGGCTTCTCTTGTGGCCTCGAGAGGCTATTAAAAGTTCAATGTAGAGATTCCTTATAAAAACTTTGAGCAAAGGAGGTTTTTTGAAAAACTTCTATGGCCAATCACTGTTTGTTGAGCTTTTGTATTAGGCCATTTTGTGAAAACTCGACGTGTTTTACAAATCAATTATCCTCGATTTTGCTATCTCTGGAAATGAGAGAGAATTCAGAGACAAAATAACCATGTTTACATAACACATCTTTGTAGGTATTAGACTTTGATAATATTCCTTACAAACTAGATTAAGTCCTGAATTCTTCGGGTTTCCCCAAATATCTGGCTACAGCTCTCCATACTAGAGTCCCATCTTCCATTCTCTTGATTTAACGTCATTAAAAACCCAAACTGCCCTTTTCCCTAAAATCCTAAAAACTGCTCCTGAACAACTTGAGGTCAGCCTCAGAGAAGCTGCCATATAGCTCACGTACAGACAATCTCCTTGCTTGTTACTCTGCGGGGAGAATAACAGGCCCCAGGGACAGAGGATTATTTGAACGGGTGGAAGATGGGAAGGGCTCCCCAACAGTTGCAGGACTCCACCATCACCTTGACCAACTGCATGATGGCGATTTCAAAATCACTCCCTAAAAGCCATGGCATACCCCACACTCCACAGGATTAACTAATCCTTTGTGGGAATAATGGATGGTGTCACATTCATTATCGTGGACTGGATGATGCACTTGGGGAAGCTCTTCTCTTCCAGGACAAGTATGTCTGATTGCCAACTATTCCCATAATTAGGATATAGTTACAGGGAGTCATCAGGTGCCCCTGGATGTCCATAAGCAATGACAGCAGGGCAGTGGCAGAGAAGGGCACCTAGGACACAGGGTCTGGGTAGACTGGTATCTAAGGGACAAAATGAATTGTCAGTCTCCCAGACAATAAGTGAGTCCAGTGGATTTAACTGTATTAGAAACCAGTAGGCACACAAATAGAAAGTTCCAGCATGTGTGACCATGACCTGAATGATGGAGGAGTTTTCTAACAGAACAAAAGAAGGTCGTCTACACAGGAAGAGACGGGGAAGTTCAAGTGCACTAACAATGTGAGGGGTCCATCCATGCAGACACAGAGAGGTGATACACCCTGACCGGGAGAGAACACTCACAACACGCAGAAATGAAACAGCACGAATGTCCACAGGACGTGAAGGAAACAGAACATCAGGAAGCAGACGTGTGAGTTACAGGGGACAACACGCTGGAAAGGTTTCCACAGAAGAGGGATCCGCCCAGGAGAAATGCTCAGCCCCAGGGGAGTCAGAAAATCCAATGTGACATCAAGGACACCCCATGTCACACACTCAAGCTGGACACAGGAAGCCACAAGTGACAGGACCCAGCACCGACGTGAGGCTCGCACTCTGCACCTGTTTCCTGTTAACCTGTAACTGACTCGCGAGCTGCAATATGCAGTCTACGGGGCATTTACCCCAGAGACGAGGCCACACTGCTGGCAGCAGCAGAGCCGACAGAAGGAAAACATGAACTGGGGACCCCCACACCCCAGCATCTAGGATTGAAGGGGTTCACCAGGCAACCCGAGCCCTAGGGACCCGCCCGAGTGACACAGACGAGCCCTGGGAGCCCCACGGCAGCCACGACATCACCGGTGGCACAGCTGACAATCCCCCATCACACCTGCAACAGAGACCCAGGCAAGTGACTCGCTGCTTGGGGGTGACCACACGGAAAGCTGCGGAAAGAGGTGAAGAGCCAAAAATTAAGTCCTCCATTAAGAGAAACCTCGGGCTGCACGTAGCCCCAGTCCCAGTCCCAGGAAACGCCTCAGACTGCTCAAGGCTAAAGCCATCCTCAGACCGCCCTCAGTTCAGTTAATCAAAAAGAAAAAGAAACATTCCTGTGGTCTGAGTCAAGGCTGGGAACTGCAGATACAAACTAGCCAGCTTCTCACCCCTTGTCTGAACCCCATGTGGGCCCTCTGAACTCACCTCACAATTGGTCATTTTCAAAGGATTCTTAAAGTCATGACTGGGTCCCACCGAAAGGAATGAACACCTCACAGACACTGAATCGTCGAAGCTGTAATTGTAATTGGTGCTTATGTGATGATGCTACGTGTACTGTAACACCCCCGTCCCTTACTCCTTAAAAACCCTGTTCGCTATTGTTCTTGGCTTCACCTTGCTGCCATGACACCGGCAGGCGGGTGAGCCCCTGCTTGAGCTTGTAATAAAGACCCTTTTGTACTTGCATCGGTGCCGGCTCCTTGGAGGTCTCTGGGACTCGTGATTCGGGCACAACAGAGGTATGGCTGAAGGACAAATCCTGACTGTGTCACCCATGCTGGACACCAGGGGCAGCGAGAGCCTCTCAGATCAGCCGCCCACGGCACCCACACAGCACACAGCGCCCCACGGCAGAGGGTCAGGCCCGGTCCCACATGGGGACTCAGCTCTCCCTGCTGACACGGGTCCACCGGGGAGGTCTGAGGGGACCCCGAGCCCCAAGGGGACTAAACCCTGAGCTCCACACACCCTGGCCCCCTCCTCGGGAGCTCCAATTCTCACGAGGGAGGAAACCCTCCCAGGCTATGATCTGACCCCTAACGCTCTGTGTTCATGACCCTCCCACCAGCAGTTGACCCCGAGGAGCCTTCCCTCAGTCTCACCTGCACAGAATTTGTTTCCACAGATGCCACTTAGCCCCTCAGCCCCACGGATGATGCCAACACCAGTCCTCGGGAGACCCCCCCACCCAGGGCGACCCCAAGTCACCCCCTGCACTGCGTCTCCTGCTCGGGCCCTGCGACCTGTCTGGGCGGCCACAGCGCCTTCCACACTCGTCCCGGGGGCTGGAGGCCACCTGCAGGCGAGAGAGACCCCACACACCTTCCCTCACCTCCCACCAGGCCCAGCTCGGGGGGCCACTGGTCCCCAGCCCAGGGGAGACCCCGGCTTTCAGCGCCCTGGGTCACCTGAGTGACCTGAGGACCCCAACCTGGCGTGGGGACAACCGGGTGCAGCATCGCGGCCTCCACCCTGCGCTCAGGGCTACAGTGGGAGCGGCGGCCCCAGGGCTCTGGGCGGGCCACGCGAATGGAAGCGGTTTCTCCCTTTCAGAGAACAGGGACCTGGTACCCTTACACGTGACCTGTCTCAGTTCACAGGATGTGTGTGGTCTGTGACTCCACCCAGCTGCCATGGAGGTGCGGCGCCCCCGCCTGTGCCCCCAACCCTAAGGGAGAAGGGCGATTTCTGTCCTGAGACACGTGTCCCCAGGGAACATTCTCTGGATGAAGCCCAGAGTGACCGAGTCAGCAGGGACACGAACGACCTGACACCCTTACTACCCTCTGCTCTTAAGGGTAAGGAAGGAGGCAGAAACTCATGTGTTTACACCTGCTGAACTTGAGGCTGTCGGAAGACAGGGCCATTGGCGCTGAGCTGGACAGGGACTGCGCTGTTCATAGGGGACAGGTGACACCAGATGCCTACTGAGCCCTGTGCTCCCGGGAAAACCTCAGGGGCAGGAGGAAGGCAGCCCCTCCCCCACCCCGCTGGGGTCTGGGAACCAGCAGGCTGCAGACAGGGCCCCTCCCCCGTCAGACCAGGAGAAGCCTCCCAGGGACGTCCCCGGGTTCACCCACGACAGGGCCCCGCGCGCCCCCCCCCCCAATCCACACTGTGCCGCACCCACCATCAGCTCAGCTGCGCGTCCCCATGACCAAGGGGCACAACGTGCCGGCTGCTCCCCCGCTGGTTTGGCTTCTCTCCTCCTCCGGACCCTGGACATGGGCCTGTCTCAGCCTGAGCCCCACACAGCCCCTCCTGGGGACACGGGGACAGGCTGGCCTCAGGGAACGTGCGCGTCAGCACCACACCTGCTCACGCCTGTGTCCTTCCCCCTCTCCCCCCTTTCACACGACTCCTGAGACGCTCAGGTCTTATGCCCACAGCGTCCTGCCTGTCGCCGCAGCCGCTGCCCCTGCACGGCCCCTGCCCCTGGTGCAACAGCCCCCCCCAGCCCCTCCCCCCTTTGCAATCATTCTGCTCAATACACGTCTCTCCTTACTCACTTCGGATTTTCCCTTGGATTTCCCCTTTGACGCCGGTTTGAGCAACTGTCCACCACCGCCCCTTTCCTACCCAAACGTTACCCAGGCCACTGCCCCCCCCACGGGCCCTGAACTGCGGGGGGCCCACACTCCGAGCACCCACTGAGCTGAGGAACAAGGCCCTGGGGGCCTGAGCCCAGGAGGCCTTCCTCCACCGCAGGGGCCCAGCCTGACGCGGGCCTTCCTGCCCATCCCCCTCTCACAGAACAGCCAAGCCCGGTTCTGTCTCACTGGAGGGTCCCTGACATGGGAGCCGGTCCCTGGTGGAAGTGGTTGTGATAAATCGTCCTCAGCCAGGCGCAGATTTGAGGTCATTTCCCTGGTCTGTCACTGGGTAGATAGACCCCAAGTCTACATGCTTGTACCCACAGACTTTTGCCACACGTTTCCCTAAGCTGTCACTTTCAGCTTTCTCCTTAACTCATCAAGTGACAAGAACCTGACCCTGCAGCAATAGTGACCACCCTCCCCAGACCTCCAGGGGCCCAAACTGCTGGACCCACACACGATGAGGAGGCTTCCCCTTGGAAATATCCTTCCCAGTCCTAACCCAGAGGAGCCGATCCACCCTCCCTCTGGGGACTCAGACTCTGGAAGTCATTCCCTGTGATCCCCTGAATCCGCATCTGCTGCTAATATAGTTTTCTTCCTGCAACTACTGAGGGTGGAACAGTTTCTGACTCACCAGGGAGCTGATGTGGTTTTGGGGGGCTGGTGAGGATCAAGAAAAAATTCTTGAGACGTCTTTAGTGCAAAAAGATGTTTCACTACAGCACTGGGCCATGACCATGGGCAGAATGAGCTGCTCTCAGTTGTGAGGAGGGACGGGACGGATCATAGGAGATATTGCATCCTATGGAGGGGAGGGTGATATTGGGGCTCCAGGAAGTTGAGTCTGTAGGTTTCTGGAAATTGCTCTGTTTCCTTGTAATTTCCTAAAACATTTTTTCTTTTTTTTTTTTTTAATTTTTTAATGTTTTATTTATTTCTCACAGAGAGACAGTGTAGCAGGGGAGGGTCAGAGAGAGAGAAAGGCACAGAAATGGAAACAGCCTCCAGGCTCCGAGCAGTCAGCACAGAGGCCGACGTGGGAACCCAGGAACTGTGAGATCATGACCTGAGCCGAAGTTGGACCCTTAAGCGCTTAACCGACTGAGCCACCAGGTGCCCCCCTAAGACATTTTAAGTGGATGGAGACCCACATCCGGCTTGACTGCTCTCAGTCAGTTAACTGCTGTGGGAAACAAAGGCAGAAGGAAATGGCAGATAAAATTAAATTTCCTCACAATCTACAGCCCATTGACAAATATTTGAGGTTGGCTGAGTAAAAGCATCAACAGGAACTCCCTCAGTCTTAATGTTAATGGTTTGTTAGAGAAAAAAACATCCTTAGCGTGACAAGACCTAGTTGCCCCAATCCTGGGGGTCTTCTTTAGCATATGAAAATCTCTTTGGAAACTTCCCCTGGGCGAGGCCACCCACAACCCCACAGTATAAACCAGTCTCTCCCCAAGTCCCAGGACAGCTCGCCAGCCCTGGTGTCCTGTCTCCCAGCTCTAACAGGTTCACCTTTTTGCACCAAAGAGGTCTTCAAGAACTCTTCCTTGACCTTCGACTTTGGACCCCACTACCCCACCATCACCCCAAAAACCTCATTAACCATTTGTTTCCCTCTGTCCTTCATTCCTGCGCAGCTAAGACAGGCTGAGGACGGTCACACCTTCCCCACCTGCTGGGAGTGGGGGGTGCGTCCTTAGCTTCTGCTGTGCCCACAGCTTGCCTGTTTCCCACGTCAGTGAGCAGGACTCAGGTTGGCTGGGTGACGGGTCCACCGTGGGTCCCCCCGCAAGCCCAGCGGGTGACGGGTGCCCAGAAACAGCAATCGTTTTAGGCCCCCCGCTCTCCTCCCACATCTACGCCTCCCCGGCTCCACTACCCAGTACACTCCTTGCACAACTTCCTGGTCCGGGTCTGAGTTACAACGAAAGGGAAAAACAAAAAAACAACCTCAGCCCCGAAGACTTTAAGGGACAGCGGGGCCGCAGAGGCTGACCGTCCCCCCCAGGCCAGGACACAGCCAAACCGGGGAGACTCCGTGCCGTGTGCAGAGTGACCAAGCCCCGCACTCCCGCCCCGGCCGCGCAGCCCAGGCCCCCGTGCGCGTGCGCCTGCTCCCTCCGCGCGCGCGGCCCCGGCCCCACGGCCACACCGCCCGCTGCCGGATCCTAACGCCCGCGTCCCAGCCCCGGGGGCGGCGCCGGCCTCCCGACCAGCAACCTGCTCGCGTGCTTCCTAGACACGCGTTCCAACTCGGTCTGCGCCCCCTCAGGCCCGCCTCGTCTGCCCCCGACAAAGCCCCGCTTTCCGACTATTCACCCTCACCCTCCGTACAAGAAACCCACCCGTCCCCGCTGGGGAGCCGCCGAGTCGGAAGCGGTTCCCTGTGGCCTCCTTACTGCTGCACATAGTGTCCTTCAGGTGACAGCTCACCTGGGTAGTGTCTACCTGTCCCCCCGAGGGGCAAACTCCCTCTGGTTAGCTCTTCTCGCAGGCTCCCCGAACCCAGGCCTCCCCCGTGTCCGCTCCCCCACCTCCTTCCCCAGTTCCATCGGCCCAGGACCCAGGTGCGACCCCTGGGGACGGGGACACCCCGCCGCGGCCGCTTCCACCTGGTCCCGGCTGGTCCCGGCCTCCCCTCCGGCCGCGCACTCACCATCTCGGGGGCGCCCTGCTCCGCCGCCCCACCCGCACCTGGGGCTGCGCAGGACCCGAGTGCGCCAGCTGTCCCGCTCGGAGCCACGCCCACCGGGCTCCTGCTCGCGCCTGATTGGATGTTTTTCACGCCCCGGGCCCTCATTGGGCGGTGCTTCAGTCTCTACGGCCTGATTGGACGGCGTTCCGAAGATAACTCCCCCGGATCCTGATTGGACATTACCGAGCCTCCGCACTTCCGCACGGGGATAGGACAGCCTGCGGCCCTTCACGTTCTGATTGGAGGCTAAACCTGGCACCGCCCGTGTGGACGCAAATTGGGCAGATCCTCCCATGCCCCGCCTCCTGCCCCCTGAGTGACGGGCTGCTGTACACACTTGTCCGATGCACTTGCACGGAAGTTGCTCTCCACGGAATGCGCTCCGGGCAGGCTGAGCAGCTCGCCTCGTCCTCCGTCCCGGGAATCCCCCTCACTTTCTGCGCGGAACCTCCTGAGTCCGGCGTCGGATTGGCGCGCGATAGAACAGAAGGGTCTAGTGACGCTTGTGTTCGTCGTCCACACGGGGTGACGGCGCACCTGTCCCATCTGTGTCGGGACAGCTCACTGGCGGAGCGCAGGGGCGGCTCAGAGCCTGCAGCCTGCTTCGGGCTGCGTCTCCCTCTCCCTCTGCCCCTCCCTGTCTCTCAAAATAAATGACCGTTAAAAAAAAATTGAAAAATAAAAGAGTGAGAAGAACAGCTCCCTGACCTGTGACCTCACCTAAGGGGATACAGGTCGGTCTCCCCGGACCCTCTGAAAGCGTGAGGCCCCGCCCTCTGAACCAAACTCCACTTCTCAGGCCTCAGGTCAATAAAAGTGCCTGGATCCTCAGCCACCAAGGGAGTGGGACCCCCGCGGCCCCAGCCGGGCACAGCCACACGTTACAATGCTCAGGTGTACGTTTTATTATGCAAGGAAAGTCACGGCAGATCCAGTGTGTAATCAGTGTCCGTGAATGAGGAATGTAAAAGACTCCAATTCCTTCTTCGGGTGGTGTGTACATGTGGCACAGCTCTGAGAACATACAAAAATAAAAACTAAAAAGAACACTGAGTTTTACTCTTAGAAATGTGAGTCCTATGGTATGTGACTTATATCTCTATTTTCCAAAATAAATTTAAAGGTCACAATAGCCATGAGATCATGCCTCCTGGGCACTGTTGAAATTCTTGACATCTCCGTGGATTTGCCTCCTCTGCCTGTTTTATGTAAGTGGACTCACACCATGTGGCCTCGTGTGGCTGGTGTCTTCCATGTGGTAGAATATCTTCATGACTTGTTCACGTGCATGATGTGTCCATGCCTCCTTTCTGGGGCTGAACAACCGTCCGTCCTGTGTGTATGCTGCACCCTGTTCATCCATCCATGCACTGGGGGGCTCTTGGGACGTTTCCCTCTTTTGCGGGGTCAGCACAGTTGTGCACCCGGCATTCGTGTGCACACATCTGAGTGTTTCAGTTTAAGTAGGACTCGATTACGTAGGTCACATTGGAATCTGTGTTTCACTTTTTGAAGAAGCACCAAACTTTTTTCCACGTCAGCTGCCCCAGTTGACATTCCCACCAGCCAAGCACAGGGTTCCAATATCTCCACATCCTGATGCCGCTGCTTCTCTGGATTCTGGCTCCGCACCGTCCTCGTGAGTGGGAAGTGGCATCTCGTCGTGGTTCTGACTTGCATCGTCCTGATGTGAGGATTGTTTCATGTGTCTATTAGACCTTTGTGTGTCATCTTAAGAGAAATGTCTGTTCAAGCTTTTGTTCTTTTCTAACTGGGATGAGTTTTTGTTATTCAGATAGGAGTTCTTTGTGTATTCTGCATGATATGAAATTATCACATATGTGATTTACAAGGTTGCTTTCCCATTTTTATGGGTGTCCTTTCAATCTCTTGATAGTGACCTTTGATGCACAAAAGATTTTCATCTTGCTGAAGCCTCATTTACCTACTTTTTCTTGTGTTGCCTGTGACTTTCGTGTAACAGTTAAGAAGCCTTACTGAATGCCAAGTTCATGAGGATTTCTCCCTGGGTTTCTCTCATTCTTGGGCTACCCAGGACAGGCTCTTCAGGGCTGAGGATTCTCAGCAGAGCTGTTCCCGAGGCCTGGAACTCTGATAACACACATATCTACACAGCTGTTTATTGTGAAAAAACATGAAGTTTATGGTAACGGAGTTTGTCTTACGTGATGACCTTTGATTCCTATGACTATACTTTGATACTCAATACCGTCGTCATTATATATCCAACATAGCAATGTTTTTGAAATGTTTTTAATTTTTGTTTTTATGTTAGAGAGAGAGAAAATGTCAACAGTGGAGAGGGGCAGAGGGAGAGATAGAGACAGTCTTATGCAGGCTCCGCACTCTGTGATGAATCTGAAATGAGCCATGATCCCATGACCTTGAGATTATGACCTAAGCAGAAATCAAGAGCTGGACACTCAACCAACTGAGCCACCCTGGTGCCCCACACCCACCCCAGAGTCAATTTTCTAGCTTGTTTACACACATGACCATAACATGGTCCTCGTGTGCCCTGACTCATCACAGACAAGGAAGTATCTTCTGGGAGGACAGGTGGGTGAAATGGTTTCTGCTCAAGGGGAGATGTCACAGCCCAGTTCTGAGCGCCAGGCCAGATTCCACTGTCTGAGGCCATGTTTGCCATTCTCATTGTCTATGTGAACACTGTTTCTTCTCGTTGTTCACAGACAAGGAGGGAATAGGCGTGTGTCTGGCTCCCCATCCCACACCCTTGAGCTGCAAGGTCATGACTCCTGGTGTTCTTTGTCCAAGGCCATTACATAAGCAACAATCAGGTTTTCAACATTAGGAGTGACAACGTCGTTTTTACAAATAAAAGGTGATAGTTATATAGGAATTAGAGAAAATCACAACAGAAATAAAATGTCAAAGTTTAGAAGTCTTGTGAAAATACAAAAGGGAATCCTTCCTAAATGAGGAGATGAGGCCAGCAGTAGCCTCTTTCCCATCCAGCTCCTGGCCAGTTGCGGACCCCACTGATGGGAAAAGCCACGGAAGTGGACGGAGCTTTCCTCGACCCAGTAACACCCCACCAAGGAGACAGAGTCATACCAGTCAATGAGAGATGGCCAGAGAACAGCTGAGAGGGTATCACAGCCCAGCTGATGAAAGGTGGTCACAGACCAGCCAGTGAGAAGGCACCATCTTCAAACCTCCACCCCACCCTGTTTGTCCCAAAGGTCTTTTTCTTTACAACAACCAACCCCAATTCTCCCTTTTCCCTGTAAAACGGCATCCTCTCCTTTCTTCTCTGAACTTGCCCATGGTTTTGCCATCTCTTGCATGTCCTGATTTGCAATTCTTGCTATTGCCAACAAATCCTTTTTTGCTTGTAAAATACCAGACACTAACGTTTATGTACTTGGAGGTCAAAACCTGTGCCCATTAGAAGTCTGCTGGCCTTCAGTCCTACCCCTGTGTGGACTCAGACTATTCCTGCCTGGAACCGTGCGGGCCTCTGGACCATGTCTTTTTCGAACCAGCCTGTTCCTGTTGAAACTGTGTTTCTTAGGATTTGCTATTTTTGCTCTAAAGGAAAAGCTATGGAATGGGATCCCAGTCATCAAAATGTATGAGGGAGTCCCTCAGCCCCTATTCAGCGGTCCTCTCTGGTTTTACGTTTGAAAACTGCGGTCATTCCTCAAGTGAATTTCTAACTACATGAACTAACTTCAGCAGGGGTAACTGAGAACATCAATGGCCATCACGAAAGACTTCTGACCTCCCCTAAATGACTCTTATCAAAATTGAACAGTTATGGCTCTAAATTTGTCATAACCAGATGAGATGCCTACTTTAATGGGTATTTGGAAGCTTCCTGACACTATCAGGATATAAGTTCCCATCTCTGCAAGACACCATTTCTAAATTCTCAGAGACAAACCCGTGGAAGGTGTCCAAGTGGCTTCCGAGCCTCCTCCTTCCCCATCGTCTTTGTCTCCAGACAGGAGGGAGCTCCTTCCAGTGCAGACCAGGCATCAGTGCTCCCTCCCCGCCTCCCCTCTGCCCCCCCCTCCTGTGTACCGCCGTCCTCCTTTTTTTTTTAAATTTTTAATGTTTATTTATTAGCGAGACAGAGAGAAACAGAGCATGAGCGGGGGAGGGGCAGAGAGAGAGGGAGACACAGGATCTGAAGCAGCTCCGGGCTCCGAGCTGTCAGCACAGAGCCCGATGCCAGGCTTGAACCCATGAACTGTGAGATCATGACCTGAGCTGAAGTCGGACACTTAACCGACTGAGCCCCCCAGGCGCCCCACCACCGCGCTGCTTCTAATCCTTCCACTGAAGGTCCTTTTCCTCTGATTCTCTCCCCAGTCCTTCCTCTCCCGAACCTGTTAAGACAGGCCCCTGTGTGGATCCAAATAAAGCCCAATGACTTAACTTTGCTGAAGCTGAACAAAGGCTGAACATCAAGCCAGAATTAGACTTTCTCAGAGTAACAGAGGATCCCCAGAGGTTTGCCCTACTAAGAAGAGGCACCAGGAAAGTAAAAGCTATATTCACAACAACGAAAAGATTTTTGTCCCACCTGAATTTTCATGAAGAAAACGCTTGAAGTTCTATACCTGAAGTTTTCCCAAAATTGTGCCAATTCAGGATCTTCTCCATTTTATTGGCTCACATTTTAAATACAATTTTAAGGGGAAAAATTAAAAAATAAAAATAAGTAAGATTTTAAGCGAGAATAAATGCTTTCCCACAGTGTGTCTGTGGTCAAATATTCCTGGGATACCTGAAGGCTTTTCCATGGTGCTTTAAGTTCATAGGGTTTCACATCACTGTGCTTACACGTGTGTCCTCGAAGGGAAGAGGGACAAGTGAAGGCTTTCCCACAGTGTGGTCATTCATAGTGTTTCTCCTAAGTGTGGGTCCTCACATGTTTTTGAAGCCTTGACTTATACCAGAAGGCTCTCCCACACTCCTGACATTGATAGGGTCTCTCCCCAGTGTGAATTCTCACATGATGAATAAGACCAGAGTGATACGTAAAG